CCTAACAGCAGGCTGTGTCTTGTCATTACCTTATTCGAGACAACATGTAGGATGACAGTAAAGTCGTACCCATCGACCGTCATTACCCTTGTAAACTCGCCTCAGGTACTATTGCCAGCGGAAACAAAACCATCAAACCTAAGTTTGCAGTTTCTCAGAGGTGGTGATCCTAACCTCGCATACTCATCCGATCGTATAAACGTGAGGTCACTACCTGTATCCACTAACGAGACAAACTTGCAGCCATCTATCGACACGTCCTTCAAGTACTTTTTCCTCTCCGGTCTTGAGATTACGTAAGTCTTTACTTGTCGCGCTGTACAATTCGCCGCCACATGTCCAAACTCGTTGCATTTGAAACACTTCATACCTTTTCCTTTCTCCGGACACTTAGCGCTTAAGTGATCCGCACTGCCACAATTGAAACATCTTCTCTTATCACTCGCTGTTGGCCTCGGCTGGCTTCGCACTTCCGATCGCTTTCCTTTATCCCTTTGCACTTCCGATCGTTTTCCTTTATCCTCTTTGCGTCCCCCGAACTTTGTCTTCGCCTTCATGTCCCTCCTCATCGCTTCATACTGCTTCAGGCGTTCTTTCAGTTGTTGCATGGTCTTGGCTCCATACAACACAGCCTTGTTCGCGACCTCGTCGAGAATGCCTTGAATGATATAGCTGATTTGCGACGGTATATCGACTGTTCCCTGTCCCGCAATCTCACGCATACTGTTCATGTACTGTCGCAGACTCTCATCTGGTCTCTTCGTTCTATTTGCTAACTCCTGGTGTATCTGTTGGTCACTCACTGCGTCTTCGAACTCATCATCCCGTGAGCAGTTTCTTAGCGAAGGCTACCATGTGGATGTCTGACCACCCACACACTTTTGCCATTTCCTCGAAGTCCTCGATCCATCGACTTACACTCGGCAGACCGTCCCCGCTGAATTTCTCTAGCGAGTCCTCTACGTCTCTGAACGTTAACAGCATGCACCTAGGCTCGTCTTGCCTCGGTCGTCTTAACACTGGAGTTACCCGAACTCCGTCGTCTTGCCTATTGAGATTGCGATTTCCTGGGCCGTTAACGTCCAAACGGTCCCCAACCACGCTAATCTCATCGTCGTCGTCGTCTTCTTCTGAATCGTCGTCATTGTCATCCTCCGGATCGTCTTCTCGTGCACCGTGTTCCCGTTCTACGCGTAACGCAGCAAGCAATCGTTCTACCAGCTCGCGTTTTCTGTCCGCTAGTCTCAGCCGTCGTCTTCTCAGTTCGTCTTTTAGTTCAGATGTTCGCATCTGAACCACCTGCTCGTCGGTCAATCCTGCTTCTCCTGTATTGTAGTCAGCCATTGTTCTCAAATATCACTTTCAATATTGTAGTCAGCCGTTGTTTTCAAATACCACTTTCACGAATACAGTCACTTGAACACTTCACTTGTCACTTGGCACTCTAAATCCCGGTCGGAGCCCCCCAAAATATGTAGTAACTGATAGATTTTTAGAGTAAGGACAAGTAATGATGGTAGGTTCAAAGTTTAATGTATTTTAATAAGTGATATTCAATAACAAAAGGACCGACTACAATATCGTCGCACGTCGACTCACACTCCGCATCCGCTCAACTCGCACTCTGCTTCTCGACTGGCCCTCTGGCCGTTGCAGCATTCTTGTGTCTTTTGCTAGGCCCACCGCATACGTGTTCCGCAGACGCTCGTAGCCAGGCTCACGTAGGTCTTTTCGCGACATTGTCTGTAGTTAGCTCGACTTTTCTTAGGCCCTTCTCCCCGATACTACATGTATGATAATTATCTGTGCACGGTCTCGTCCTTATTTATTTCTCTCGGTTTTACACGCCGCTCGCTTTGTTCCCTCTTCTTCGAGTTGTATCGTTGTCGCGTGCGTGGATTGTCCGCGTGGCCATCGTCCTTGACCACGACGACGCGCGACGCATGACGCATGACACGACGCGATGCCTCGAAGAACGCGGAGATCGATAGTTCGGATGCTGCATTCTCCGCTAAACGCCCCTACTCGCCGCTTTGTCCCGACGATGATAATATTATCGTTTTATCGTATTACTATCGTGACGCGCGACTGCTCCATCTTTCGAGAATTGCCCACAGATACCGTGGTCAATCATTTATCGTCCAAGGCCGCGTAAAAAACATTTCAACGGACTTTCCAAGCCGAAAGTCCTGTGTGCGTTATAAGTTATAATAGTATAACGCACAATTATATCGTAACAAGAAAACGATATAACGTACAATTGACCAAAGGTGTGAATGTAGCGTAACGTTACGTCGATTATACATACTATCGATCGTGTTTTCATCTAGGATAGCTGCGGATTGATTCAAGGATTTTGTTATCGTTCGCAGACTGACGGAACCAACAGGAAACATTCACGATGGTATCGGCAACTACACGGCGGACGTAAAGTGTTCCTGGTTGATCGAGAGCAACCCAAACTCCACGATACGGATGCACGTGGAGCAATTCGCGACAGAATGCGGCTGGGACCACATGTACATTTACGACGGTGACAGCGTCGAGGCGCCGTTGGTTGCCGTCTTCTCCGGATTGATGCACAAAGATGGCTACCACGTACGGCGCGTGCCGGAAGTGATCGCGCGCTCCGGAACCGCGCTGCTTCACTTCTACTCGGACGTCGCGTACAACATGAGCGGCTTCAATATCAGTTACAAGATCAACGCCTGCCCTAGCAGGTGAATTATCTTCTTCTTCTTTTTCTTCTTTTTTTTTCACAAACAATTCCGTCTTCATTTTCTCTATCATCATTTCCCGATCCTTTCACACTTCCATCTTCGTTACATTATTTCCTTCCATTTGCTTCCTTCATTTTCTCCTCTAATCTTTCCACGATTTGGATTATTATGTTTTCAGGAATTTGTTCGACAACTTTGTATTTCCTTCTTCGTTTTATTTCTTTCTGCGGCAATCTTCGCATTTGTTTCGAATTTATTACGAAATGTTACTGAAAAATGTTACTGAAAAATGTTCACCGAGCAAATTTTCAGGCATTTTCGTAGGTCGTATTCCACGATCCCCGAACGTTTCGAACGAAATTTCTGAAAAAATCAATATCCATATAATAAAAAATGAATATCTAAATGTAATTATAATTTCTTAAATCATACTTTTTACTGCTTTTACGTATCTGTTTCTTTGTCTACATATAGCAAAACCTCTTTATTTACGTATATTTACGTCGAACTTTGACATACGAGAGAATAATCATGCGAGAGTTCATTGATCCTAGTGCACAGTATCTTATTAGCGTTGCCCATTCATGAATTCATTCGACGAACAAAAAGATATAAGGCTCTCTTGTTATCGCTATTGTCTTTGGTCAAGAACCAGAACCATATCTCAAATATTGCTACACACAAAGCACTGTTATTCAATTTGATTACTCGTAAAATCTGAAAATACATATTCTTTTTATGTAGTCTCATAAACGCATGAAATCTCTACGATAAAGAAACAACTATTCTCCAAATCGTTTATTCCGAATTCTTTCTTTCATTCTTTAAATATTTAACATCTTGCCACGTGTTTTTCTCATCATTGATCATTCTGTTTGCGATATTTGGCCAAGCCCGATCGGTCAAATATTTGTTCTATCCTCGTGTACAAATACGATAAGAGCGTGTGTACCGTGCCTATTAGCATCGAGATACGCTAACTTGGCTTCTTAAAGATTTGCGCAACCTACTTTCCTCGTGTGTATATAATTTTCGGTGTTCGTAGGTATTCGCACACTGACTGTTCCGGCCACGGAGTCTGCATCGACGGTGTGTGTACGTGCGATGCCACGTGGACCGGTGAAGCTTGCGAGATTCAAGTTTGTCCAAACAATTGCTCCGATAATCACGGACAGGGCGAGTGCAACCGCGAGAGCCATCACTGTGACTGCGTGCATGGTTTCAAGGGTGACATGTTTTCGTCATAAGCATTTACCGAACCATTATGAATAAAGAAATATCTTGCTTCACCATGTCCTAATCTTTGTCTTCCATGCGCAATTTAACCTTTCGATATTACTCATATTTGAATTGGCAATACAATATTACAACAGCTATCGAAAAATTCTCTTTATATTTACTCTCTTTATATTTACAATTTATATTTACAATTTATATTTTTTTATATTTACTCTCTTTATATTTACAAAATGATTAAACATTTCGTAATAATTCAATGTATATTATTCGGTACTAATACTAATAAATTAAGTACGAGTACATGTATTCAATGTCCATAATCGGTCGAATCTTTAAGACCGATAGAAATTCAACAACGATCAATTATTAGCGAATCAAGCCTGTACACAAACTCGGAAACTCGGAAACGATTAATCCCTTAATTTTGCATAAAACCATTAAAATAGACTCTCTGTACGTTCAGGTTCTGACTGCAGCCAAAGAAGCGATCGTGGATTCTGGGAAAGCGTATCCTACAAAAATTTGTCACCGGAAGGTTCGGCTAGTCATTGCTCCATCGTTTGGAAGGATTCCTTATACGTAGTCGGCGGTGAGAGCTTTCATCGCGTAAAAATGATCAACGTTTATGATTTCAATGGAAACGTCTGGGAGACCCCTCACGTCGAGGGTAAGGTTCCTCTGCCTCGGTACGCTCATTCGTGCGTACTCTTTGGCGACAAGATATTCATGTACGGTGGTGTACTGCCTAATTCTACGGTGACCAATGAGATCTGGGCGTTCGATGTGTCGGCAAAAGTCTGGGAGAACGTAACGGTGCACGATAACTTCCATAACAACAAAACCATACGTGGTGGTCCTTTAAAGGTGGTACATCTTTCCTATATCACGTCATTTCTTTCATTTTTAAATATTTCACAACAGCGTCATTGTAGACAATTGGAATATTTAATATGCAGCGATACACAACTTATATCGGAACGGCGAATTTTTTCCCTTTTCGTACAACTCTATTAGTCGCTGTTCTCCTACCGATTCCTGATCTTGTGCCTTTTTCGTTTCTTTAATTCCTCTTCGCAAACTAATATATTTCTAAATATCGCAACAATACTCGATCCTTTTATTCTTTAAACGTTATAATTTATGTTAGGTAAAGATTCTCTGCAATAGAACGTAAAATACCAGTGTACCTTTCTTCTCAGAGTAACACTCTGCCGCGCTGATTACTGCCACGCAAAAACTGTACATAAAAAGCTAAACTTTGGGATTGGGAAACCATATTTCATAATTAACAAAAGGATGCAAACCCTTTCAGTATGAATTAGATATTACCTAAAATATTCTAATATTTCGATATTATTGTACACTGTCATTTTGCTCATTTTCGCGATTAATAAAAGACTCTTACTCGGTATAAATAATATCCGAAATCTTCAAGTATCTCAATTTTCAATCGATCGATCGAGAAACGAATTCGATTACTCTGCGCAAACCTATTATCCCCATCTGAGATACGTATGTAGTTTAGCATCAAGGGGTTAAAAGTTCTTTCTCACTCAACTCGGAATACTTTTATTTAATGCCTTACTTCACACAGGTAGCCGGACATTCTGCAACCTTGGTGCACGGAAAAAAAGAAAAGATGGTGGTGATATTTGGCTATTCGCCTCAGTATGGTTACCTGAACGAAGTTCAAGAATGCTATTTGGGTACTCGTGAGTGGCAAATTGTGGAGACTGCTGGATTCCCTGTGAAGGGTGGTTATGGTCATACATCTGCCTATGATCCGTTGACGAATCTCATCTACGTGTACGGAGGATACGTATCGGAGACACAAATCACACAGGTGTTAACCAGTCGACTATACTCCTATCATCCTATTAATCGTGAATGGAGGTTGCTCACGTCAGCGCCATCGGCTCGTTTCTTTCATACGGCTGTATTCGTTTCTGGTGGCTTGATGATCGTCTTTGGCGGTAATATGCACAACGATACGCAACATTCGGACGGAACAAGATGTTATTCAGCGGATACGATAGCGTACGACGTTACGTGCGACTCGTGGCATCAGTTTTCTATGCCGAAAGAGATGACCGATCTGCCTAGGTATGGACATACTGCAACTGTATTTGAGAAGTCCATGTACATTTATGGCGGATTCGATGGACAGATGTTATCTGACATGTCAAGGTACGATCAAGGAAGGTCATCTCTCCTACTTTTATTCATTTTCTCGTATCTTTCCTACCATTCTTACTCTCCTTCGCTTATTTTACGTACTCTATATGACACGTATATTACGTTCCTGATAGAAATTACGATTTACTTTCAACAAACGGCAGGTTGTCGTTTTTTAACCAGGTTTAATTTTAACCAACAACTTTAGCTTCGATTCTTCAGCAAGGATCGTTATATAGAAATTTAATAACTTGCCATCTTCAATAGGTTTGAATGCAAAATATTTAGCGCGCCAACTGATTTTCTCACGTTATTTCGATCTGAAAACCCAGAAAAATTTCAACGCTCCACTTTTTTTTTTATAACAATTAACATAGTTTATCGGAATAAATCAGTTCTATAAATATTTAGGAATCACGTGACTTGCACTTTGCTTTTACTTTCGCTTTCGATACGTGATACGGTGTCTCAATATACGTATAACTAGCATACCGGAGAGCTAACATTCACAAGTAAATAGCTACTGTAGAAATTACTAGGCAAGAGGTTAACGTTCTTTCTATCTTTTCTCTGAGCATTTTACTCAACAGGATAGGCAAGAATCTTCGTTTACTAATATACAACATACGTATATGACCATCAGGTACACACCAGGGAACTGTGAGCACTTGATGAATCAGAATCAGTGTTTGAACGCAAGGACAGGCGTGAAGTGCGTGTGGGATAAGAGAGAGAATCGGTGTATACAGATCACTAAGATACCCCGACACGTGCTTCTTAACGACGACATGCACGACGGAATTTACATGAGGTGCCTAGACGATACGCCACCTCGTGGGATGACGTCTCACAAGGAATTATGCAAACTGCTCACAGACTGTGTGGCATGCGTACAGACTTCGTACAATTGCGTATGGTGCGGCAAGAGTTGCTCGTACGAGATTTGCCGAGACAACGCTAACGCACCTCCGACTAAGGCGATCACCGATCTGGTACAATGCGACCTTCATACTGGCATAGAGTGCTTACAATTGCACACGTGCCATGCGTGCTCCAGTAATCCACATTGCATCTGGTCTTGGTCGAACGGACCTGATCGGTGTAAGCCATACTCGAAGGCTCGAGACGTGAGTATACGAATAAAAGTTATTGCACACTAAACTTCTTACAGTCAAAATGACATTCGAAAAGTTCAACTGTCGGTACGTTTACTGCCTCAACCACGTTTCTCTTATAATCTCGTAGACAAAGTGCGACTCTTCGTTATTTATTTTGTAACCAGGATATACGTATATGCTGTGTAATGATATTTTTTCGATACGTTGGAGGTTTTGCTCGCGTGACGACGAATAAAGCGATTAACCGGATACATTTGCTAGCGCCATAATAAATTTCCTGTATGCTCTACGACACTCTACAACAATATACAACCAATATATTGTACAACAAGACAGTAAATCAATTTACGAATGTTTGCAGCAAGTGACGATTTTAAACGGAACTATTCAAGCGCAGAGGCTGTCCATAGACTCTTGTCGCAGTCCTTGCGTAGACTACACTTCCTGTAAAAATTGCACAGAGTCCGATTGCATCTGGTGTCAGAGCGAGAAGAAATGCGTGGACAAAAATGCGTATCCCGCGAGCTTCCCTTACGGGCAATGTCGCGAGTGGACTACGATCGATGCGAAATGTCGGCCGACGGAAACGGGGAAAGAATGGTGCACGTTTTATTCGTCTTGTACGACGTGCCGCTCCGATCCTGGATGTGGATGGTGTGACGATGGTTCAGGGACAGGGAAGGGACTCTGCCTGCCAGGTGGGGCTCGTGGTCCAAGCAGTAAAAGCTTGGACGCATGCCCGTTCGAACGATGGTACTTCACTAAATGCCCTGGTAAGTAAATTGTTAATGGTCACCGTGTATAGGGTGTGCACAAATTATTAAACAACATTTATACATTGTATGTATATGTATATCGATGTTCTTCAAATTACATTAATTTTAGCTTGCCAATGCAACGGGCATAGCAAGTGTCTCTCGAATAGCAGCATATGTATCCAACCGTGTGGAAATTTGACGTACGGACCTCACTGCGATAAATGCATTCCCGGCTATTACGGCAATCCACTGAATGGAGCGACTTGTCAACGTAAATTCATTCTACTCCGAGTAATATCGTTAACCCGTCAATATCGAGTAGTTCACTAAATTACATTTTCCCGTTGCAGCCTGTTTTTGTAATAATCAAGGCACGCAGTGTACCAGCGAGACGGGTAAATGTTTCTGTACAACGAAAGGCATTATCGGGGATCATTGTGAACGATGTGACGTGTCTAGCCTTTATCACGGAGATCCTACCAATAAAGGATCGTGTTTTTGTAAGTTTCTTTTAAACTATTATTTCTTCTAGTAATACCAATTTCTTTTTCTACTAATAACAATTCAGCAAAGGATTATATTGAAATTTAAATTTCTTCTACAGATGATCTGGCGATCGATTATCAATTTACGTTCAACTTAAGTAAAAAGGAGGACCGTCAATACCGAGCGATCAATTTTAAGAATTCTCCGCCAAAACCCGATATCGATGCTGAGTTTTCCATTACGTGTTCTGTATTGGCTAAAATGAACATCACCGTGAAGAGAGGGAACACGCCGGAAATACCGTTGATTCTTGGCGCGAATTGCACCACCAGCATGTACAAGCATCGATTTATCAAAGACGGTTACGGTTTCGGTAGCGAGAACAATAATACATTAACCACGTTCTACGTTTACGTGTACGACTTCCAGCCGCCTGTGTGGATTCAAATTTCCTTCTCGCAATATTCCAAACTCAACTTGCAACAGTTCTTCATAACATTTTGCACGTGAGTATTTGAAACTTCGTGTCACAGCTAGCCAAACCTGTAGACTGTCAACTGTGTGTATACGTGTTGCGTGTAGGAATTAATTACGATCAAGATCGAGAACATTGTGATTTTCTTTATTATTCTTTCTTTCTTTTTTTTCAAAATTTCCCACGCTTTTGTGTTGTCCTAAGCCTCAGGCAGTATTTACTTGTAAACTAGAGATTACATGCCTAGGTGCTTCCTCGCTCTCCTGTTGGTGGCTGCTATCCTTTGGAAGATTAAACAAAAATATGATATGTACAGAAGAAGACAGAGATTGTTCGTAGAAATGGAGCAAATGGCCAGTAGAGCGTTTAGCCAGGTTTTGGTAGAAATCGAGAGGCGGGACATCGATAATTCTGACTCCGAGCGAAACGAGTCCGAGTTAATCAATTGCCGCAAGAAGAAAAAGGTTGATATCTCACTCAGTCATTTATATTCACGAATAAAGTAATTATATAATGCACAGGCTGCTTTGCATAAATTGGACATTTATAATAACTCTTACTATCGAAGATGATACAAAATGACGAAGAGGATAAAGAAAAATGTCGATGACTGGAGTAGACTTTGTGTCTGCTCTTATTAATATCGTTAGACGCGTATCTTCCAGCTACATATATGCACTTTTTCTTATCCTTAAAAATAGTGGAATTAATTCAAATGCCCAATTTAAGCGAAACATTCTGCACGTAAATACATATAGTAATCATATAAAGGATATTGCCAAACAAGAAGGGGATATTTATAGGGTTAGTTCTAGATATCAAAGCTGCTAAAAAAAAAAAAAAAAAAAAAAAAAAAAAAAAAAAAAAAATTTCGTGAAAGTAGGACTTCGTCGTATATTTATATATATGAAATAAAACATTGATATCATTCTGTCTCCACCTTCGAATCTACCATTCTGCAAGACTTTTCAAGATTTTTCAAATAACATAGAAAATAAACGAGAATAGCGTTGGCGTCAATGTACGATTCGTCACTAGCGCCGTGGATTTCGATACTTTCGATTCTATGACGTTGCTCGCGATTCTCATTTCCCTGGTTCAAATTTATTTACGGTAGCGCAAATTTTACCGATTATTACAGTAAAAGTATGTGCGACTCGATGTTATTTGGTTTTGTTGGTGTAATATTTACAGGATGCCCCTAGTCCGATCGCGTTGGAGCCCTGTTGCGGTAACAGAGCAGCGGTCCTGTCGTTGCTAGTCAGACTGCCTACTGGCGGTGAACCTTACACGCCGGCTGGTCAGAGCGCTGGTTTAGCCGTAGCATCTGCGTTAGTTACGCTGGGTAGTCCGCGGAGGCCTTCTCAGGAATTGACGACGAAGGAACCGACAAAAACACGAAAGTCTGCCAGCCAACACCCAGATTCCACATGCATTTAGCGATAAGGGCATGAAAGTAGAGACTTTTAAAGTGGGTGACTATATGAGCCTTAGACATGTTTCTGTGATCTTGCCTTAGCGAACGGGCAGGACTGTTCAAACTCTTCGAACTCTGATAGAGTGAAGTGTGTAATTATTCATTAATTATTATTCTTAATTTTTTTTCACTTTTTCTGTTCTTTTCATTTTTGTTCGTTCCGCAACGAATGTTCGTTTCGATCCGTATTTTTCAATGTGAAAATCGCGTCCGTCATGCTCAACGGATCGGTCAGTTAAGTGGTTCTACTAGTGTATGGATTTTCGTTGTGAAACGGGGGCCGGCCGTGTTTCGTTCAGCCGATATTTGGTAAGTAAATTAGGTCCATGAATCGTAAATCCACGGCATAGCGTGTGGGCATAACACGCTTGACGGATTCGAGATTCCTTTCATCGTCATTTTAATTCTTTCGTTTCTGTCGTGACGATGTACAGTGTTGTATATAGAACTGTTCTGCGGTTTATTTTTCTTCATTTACACGTTGCGATCGAACGGAATCGAGTTCGTCCCGCGATCATCGACGTGTCTTCGAAAAGGGGGCTATAAGAATAGAGATCGAACTTTGTAATAAAGTTAATATTCAGCGCTGTCCTTTAGTTACAAGTTTCAGTGAAACCGCGGGAGTGGTGGCTGAAAAAATTATCGACAGATATCGGCGAACGAAATAATATACGTATCGAGAAATTCGATTTGCCGGATGTAGTACGGACGTGTAATTTTCGTTCTTCGTTTTTCTTGTATAGTTGTGTAAATACGTGTATGTTGTATATCCCAAGTGAAAGATCATAATCATGACACACGCGGACTGTACAGATATAAAATTGATTCGAAGGAAGAAGGAAAGAAGCGGAAAGCGAGTGACAAGGAATATATCATCTTTTGTGTATTTGTCTCTTTCTAGTAAGCGGTGAAGAATCAATTCTAAATTAACGGAAATGAATAGAGGCGTATCTTCGTATTCGGTATACCTATTTATCTATTGTGCCAAAGCATTTTTATATTGGTACCGTTATTTAAAAAAAAAAAAAAAAAAAAAGAACTGGGAGAAAAAAAGGTATTAGAACGTCATTGATGTAGATAAGAATTTTCATTAACGAACCAATTTTAATCTCGAAAGATTGTCATTAGCAGAAGCATAAAAGTCCAATTTTTGGATTTTTATGACACGGCAGAATTCATTCCTTTCATTGATTTGTCTCTATTCGTTTCCATAGAGAAAGGATTCGTTATACGATTGAAAGATACGAATCAAGAAAGTTGTCCATTTTGCGTCGAGATCTCTTTCTTTCAAATACGACAGCGTAATTTCGATCGTATAACGTCCAACATAATTTTAACGTAATAACGAAGTGCGAGGGGGAGGGGCGGAGGAAGGAGAAGAAGGATGTGGATGTTGCAATAAACTGTAAGAATCGCGGTTATTCTTCGGTCGACGATAACGGTTTTCGTTTCGCTACAAGATGGCAGTGCTGGTTGTTTCACGTACCATGCCTAAAAAGCAGCGTTCAGACGCTCGATATTGTAATCAATATTCGTATGTGTCGACTACAATATCGATCGCGCGAACGCTCCTCCTTAACCTTAAATAGGTTTAAAACAGATAGAGAACGAAAAAAGACAAACAAACGTATATGTTACGTGGCTGTGGTTTATTTTTCATTTAACTATGTATTATCGTTCTTTCATTTATATTACCGATATATACAAATTTCGTATATTTTTTGCGTGGCCAATAAACGATAGCTGCTTCCGTTCTGAAATTTAGAATGATCTCACGTTCTTACTTTCTGTTCTGAATATGGAAGCAGCTCTTACTATCACGTGTTCCATAAAAAAGAAAGAAATTATTTTGTGCATTCTGCCGTGCAAAACAGTTTCTTATAACTAACCTATAACTTAAAACTCCAGCTCCAGCACTTGCATAGCACACATAGAGAATATTTGCGTATACGCGTCGTCTATTTTAATCTCAGCTCCAATAATAGAATTTTTAATGCGCGTGCAATTATTTTATCACACTGTTCGTAATAATTACGGGATCTCCTGCTTGTTGCACGGAATAAGTACCAGAAACGAGAGAAAAATACCGAATATAGGATTATCCGTTGTAGAACTTTTTATCTAATTTTCTTTTTATTCGCGTAGTCGAGATCAGCTTCCAATGTTCAAATTTACTACGGTTAAACAGAGGATCCTGTAATTATTTTGTGCATGGTATAAGACTCGAGTACACCAAGAGTGTCGATTTAGTATTTTTAAGTTTTGGTCGAACTTTCTTTCAGAGCACCAAACATTTTTAACCAATTTCTATATTTTTTGACAGTATATCACGAACACAGCGTAAAAGTATCAGTTGCGAATCTAAGAAACATTTCAAATTTAATCGAAAACTAATATATTTTCTGTTTCTTTTATACACATCTCTACGGCTAATACCAGATTCGCCAGATATTTTGTTTCTAATGATTTCTTCTACGTTATTCTTCCCGCATCGGTGGAATTTATCAAGTTCCCGAGATTTATTCAAACTCTACCTCGACGCTATAATTTATTATTTCGCGAATGCATCCTTGTGTTAAGGATCCAACGTGTAATTCTTAAAAATAAATTTCCTAACTCCAAAATTAGTACTTTTAATCATGATTTGTTGAGTTGAATCGCGTTAAAAGGTATAGACACTGGTGAAGAATCTTTGGTGTCCGAAAACGAGGTTTAGCCTCGAACTTTTCACAAAGAATACGAGTGATGTAGGCGTTTTTTTCGTCCTTTTTTTAATTTTTTTTTTATTTTAACCGTTGTATAGCACAGGATCAAGTGCAATGCATTACGTTTTACCATGTAATACTCATCGAGTATCTTTCATTCTCTCTACTATACTCGAAGCCTCTTATTGTGAGGGTGCAACCAGACACTAGCCAATACGTTGTAGATGATTTAAATTGTGACAAAGTTACCCCTACTGTTCTCAAGAATCGCTATTACCTTATCAGAAATAGAGGATAAGAACTATTTACTCTTATCTCTTGATCGTGCTCTGGTTGCACTCGTATAGAGAATAGTGTACATTTTATTACCGTAAAGATAATTTAATTTTTTATACGACTGTTTTATTTTTGTTCTCTTTCTTTTTTCTCTCTCTCTCTCTCTCTTTCTTTCTTTTTTCTTTTTTTTTCTTTTTTAACAGAGTAATAAAAGCGGTGAACTTTCTTTGTTCTGCGCGAGAATTTAGTTGTACATAATACGAGTATAAATAACGTTACATTATATTTAATGAAAATAGGAGTACATATATTGGATAAATTGCTCAACTTTTGAGTAGATCCATCTGTATTACTTTCGACGATAGTTTTCTCTTCTACCGAACCCTTTTCTTTTTATATTTAAAAGTTAAGTTTCTGTTCACTCGAGGGGAAAGTATTTAATACAATGCCAAGAAATATACAAGATGAGAGAAATATTCGTGAAAAATCACTAGAGGACGATGCTTTGGTCGATGAATATTCTTCGCCCCCGTTCTCTTCTTTTTTATTCACTGCATTTGTCGAGCTGTCTTGATACTGCCAACCTTTGTCTATTCCTTACTTAATTTTTACGATCTATCCGTCTTCGAACGCAAAATGCCTATCATTCATTCACCCGTTTAATCGTTGGAACCTGTTGCTGCTAGGAACTTTTCTTCGGCGCGTGGTTACCAGGCAAATCTTTGTCTCGAAACTTTGTCCATGTATTGAAAGTCGAAATTGAAAACAATATTTTTTTTCTTCTAAAGCCAATATCTTTGAAAAATAATGGAGAAATTACGGATAATTACGGATTTTGCTGTGTCGTGGCTTCTACTGTACCAATTGAGAGTCAAAGACAATATAACGATAGCGAGAGAAGATCTACAAATGGTCTCGGATGCTACGACTGACTTCAAACACGCTATAGCTTCGAAAGTCACAGATGACATTCTTGATACTTGAAGCAGCAAGAGGGCTAACTACGTAGACCCTAAACTAGGACAAAATCGCACACCGTTGTTGTTCATACACGTGATCTACTCTTCTTTAATTCATCTAGAGACTTAACCCTTTATTACTACTGTAAAACGAAGATATATTTCTTTTTTAGCGATTGACATTAAACGTTTAGTTTTTATAGAAAAGAAAATCGGACATAAACGAATGACACAGGAATGCATGAAATAAGACGTGAAAAAATTAAAAGATTTTCTGAAACGCTGTTGCTCGGTTTGGTTTTTAAGTGACTCGTCAGTTCATCGATATTATCGGTTGATCGATTACGTATTATGCAAAGAAGTTTGCACTCGATAGGAGAAGCCAAGGGTTAATCGTAGTATACTAAAGAGACAGAGACCATGGGAAAGAAAGAGAAAGAACGGAATAGCGACGATTCCGAAGAACGTTGTTCGGTTAATGCGTTCATTTAATTCAGTCATAGCGTATGTAATAAACTAGACCAAATCTCTTAGATCGTTAGTCCGTAAGGACAGCCGATTATAGCGTTGGACGTACGCAGGATAAATACGATGTTTCCCAAATGCCTTCGAGTTCTCTCGAAAGTAGAAAACACAGAGATATCGTCATCGTTCAACGTCATCGTGCAATGTGTCTCGTATTGATCCTTGGACGAAAGAAACACGCGGTTTAGTGTTCAACGTTTTTAAAGGAATATCGGATGGAGAAATGGAGTGGGGAAAAATGACGTAATAGAATTATATTGATGTCCGTCGTGGGATTTTAAAGGGATTGCGAAATTTTCAAGAGACAAGATCCGTATCTAGGGCCTAGGTTATGGCGGATCTGTGCACGGTCTAGGACTCGTAGTAGCTCTTCGGGACTTTCGAGCCGAGGTCTCTAGAACGTTTAAGGCATCCAAGATACTTGGATCTACGAGAGAGCTAAACTTTGACATCTTTCAAAGTCTCTAGGATCTTTGTAATCTTCAGAATCGTTAGAATTTCTGGACTAGAATATCGCTGAGATTGGTAAGATGCTTCTAGGATAAATATGCTTTCGTTTTAAACAGAACGTCAAGGATTTCGACTACCTGTATAACTCGTGAGATTTCTATGATTTCTAGGACTTTTCTTTTTCTAATAATCGTTGTTAATTAAGGATCTCTAGGATTTCTAAAACTTGTAGGACCTTTAACCCGTTGCTAAAGCTCTTATTATCCTTGAAACGTCCTCTAGCAACATAAAGATATCTCTGGGATTTCTTTCCAACATCTCTAGAATTTTTACATTGTCGAGAGAACCTAGCTATATGTAAATACGCGCATTTAGATCCTTGAAAATTGAAAAGACGACGCGACATCGATATATTATAAACACGATTGTTCGTCCGTTACAGGAACAGGATAAGGAACAAATAATTCATATTCATTTACCATATTCCATGTTTTCTTCCTCCCCTTTTTATTCTCTTTCGATGATGATCGACGAGATTGATACAAGAATTTTTATTCGTAAGCTCGCGGTCCAGCCTCGAACCGAGTTTGGCGTTTAACGTTTAAGAATACTTAACTTAACGTGTAAGTACGATAGGTAGGTAGGTAGGTAGATAGGTAGGTAGGTATATTACAATAACGAGTATAGCTTGCAACAACAATTTTTCTAGGACACAATTGAAAATATTTATTTTTATTCAATCGTAAGCGTAAGGGTACTGTTTGATAAAACGACAAAAAAAAATTAAACGAAATAGAATGAAATAAAAGAAAGAAAGAAATAAACGAAAGAAAAAACGGTGAAACATTATTAATTGTAAGAGGGAGAAAGCGAGAATGCGGTAGCGAGTATACGTTAAAATAAAAGTATATACGTAATACTGTGCAAAAGTCCAGAAATCTAGAGACCATCCGTTAAACGAAAATGTTTCAGCGATATTTTATTAGAAATTGTCAGACATCCATGACTTTTCGATTAAATCGTAAAAGAAGAAAAAATGTTGTCATTGTTAATTAGTCAAGCAGATAATAATTTTCTGCGGCAATAGTTGTTCGCGTAACAAATATCTCAAAAATGTACATTTCTCTGTCTTGTTATTCTTCGATATGTAAATTAAAATAGATAGCGTAGGACTTTTGCAGGGTATTTTATTTCTAGAATTTTTCGCGTGTACAGCTCCGTTTAAATCATCGTACACACATACATAAATTAACGAACGGAGAAACGAACACACCTACGACAACACATAGAGGATAAGAGAATCGTTACTCTTAAAACACGTGTGCTCGGCGTTCCTGTATATGTACGTGTATGTTGCGCGTATGATAATTGAGTCGGCGATACAGATTGTGTGCAGGATGTTATCATTGCCTTGTTGTCATAGTTCTCATTAACGTCATCTGTTAGGAAGAGAGGAAGCACTCCAATTGTCAGAGTTCAGGGTCTTACTGGCGTTGTAAGTGGAAATGACCCGTCACTAGTCCGACACTATCGTCCTCTCTCTCTGCATACGTTTCGAAGAATATACATACATACGTATATCGAATATTTTGAAATTATTTTATAGCGTTTTCAAATACATACAACTGTCGTAAAATATACATATGTATTTACATACTGTTTTTTTATGTTAGATAAAATGCTAATAAATTTATTTATCGTATACCAGCATTTTGATATATTTTAATTCGTGGAAAATTGGTAAGGCAAAGCGGAACAACCGCGAAGAATTTCCGTCTGTATTGTTAAATCGTATTGTTACATTTTATTTCAAAGTTCCAGTTTTCCAGACACGTATATCTTTATTCTAAAATTCGGATAAACTTTGTCTCAAAGTTCTAGGTAAGGTACTTTCTCTTATTTTAAAATTCTATCCCAAAAAGGGAATATAAATGATTAACTTTTTCATCAATCGGGAATTCAAGTGCGGCTACACACGGATCGACTGGCGAGAAATTTTAGTCAAACCACATCTACGTTAGGCAGCCACGGTTGAAACGATCAAGCCGTATAACCAAAAATAGAAGAATGCGCTATTTTTAGTCGGCGGACTATACAAGTTTTGAATAATTTCAAAGTTGCCTAATGTAAACGAGATTAAGTCGTTCCATGCGATAGGAAAAATTTGGTCGACCAGCCGACTCGACCAATTGCGCAACCAACTGTCCGATCAATTTAGTTGACCCGTGCGTGTCCGCTCTAAGATTGCAACGATACGAGCCTCGATCAAAGTCAACAACAGCGTCGTATCAGAGAGATTAAGCGGTTAAAGTTAAGGAAATAAAATTACACCATTTCCATTCGCTATATATTATCACACTCTATATTTCAAGTTATATATTTTCTTTTCCCAAAATTGTAATCTACCAAAAGTTATCGAATTTTCTCTCTACGGTGACGTTAAAGAGAGCAAATTGCAAACTTTGAACTCTCTATATTATTCGATTTTGCTTTAAATTTTTATTCGACGTATCTTTCAGAAAAATCTTTATTTACCAAAGATTCTCTCATCTTCCCTTCCAAAAAAAAGAAAAAAGAAAAGAAAAGAAAAGTTTATCAATGATTCAGAACAAACAGTTAGTTTTCTTTTATTCGGCTGTAGAAATCGTTCCTTTGACATTTGGAGTCTTCCGAGAACCGTCTGTTAAAATCACACGAGCTTGATTACGATTGTTCTTGTCTTATATGTACGTGTCTTGTCATTCGTATGTACATACATATAGAAGTAATCGAAATCTATTTGCGGCGTTCAGTCGAGACGGCAAGAATGGCTTCCGTGTACTATATTTAGTCTACGATCAATTCCCTCTTTCTTTTTTATTCCCTCTTCGTCTAATTTACTAGTGCGCATATGCAAAAAAAAAAAAGTGGATCAATTCCTCTTCGTGAAAAATGTAAAGAACGAAAACGAAGCTTCGTATCGTATCGATCGTTTACCGGTTATGGGAGGATCGACGGCAGATTTCACGTTATTCGACGAATTTGTATACTCGTTTTGTTTGCTGAAAAAAATGTGTCAAATAAAAGAATAATCTCTTGATAAACGACTCGATCGAAATTTGCGTTCTGATTCGTGCGTCGTCGCGTTCTTGCCCTCTTTTTCATTGTTCAACTGAATATTCTATCGCTCTAATCGCGCCACATGCCCTTTGCAACGTGAAGGAAAATACAATAATCAAAGAAAATTGAAAATCGTTCGGTCGTTGGATCTAAAGAACAATGACGTATACACCGTATACACCGTACATCTATCTTTATATACATACCTATCTATGGGGAATTTAAAAGTGTAAAAACGATATACAGTACTCTCTATGACATTTAACCTTTTAAACCTTTTACTCTCGATTCGCTGTAACAAATTATTAGCTAA